TGGTAAGTCATACAGATAGAGGTGAGGGAGTTAGTCTGTGGTAAGGCATACAGATAGAGGTGAGGGAGTTAGTCAGTGGTGAGTCATACAGATAGAGGTGAGGTAGTTAGTCAGAAGTAAGTCATACAGATAGAGGTAAGGGATTTAGTCAGAAGTAAGTCATACAAATGTTTGCCAGTAGTAAGTCAAATAGATGTCAGTCAGTGGTAAGTCTTACATATAGAGGTGAGGGAGAAAGTAAGTTTGTGGTATAAAGTCATACATGGACTGTGAGAGAGAAAATGAGTTAGTTGTAAATCCTGATTGAGAAGATTAATATGGAATCGAGAATTTGTCCATTACTTGGTATTAACAAGTAACACTGACACTTGTTTATGCATGAAGTGTGATTGATGATTACTTTGGCTTATTTACTTGATTTTCATTGATGTGTTTTGAAAAATGATGAATAATTTTATATAATACAACAGTTTCATGCTTTGTGCTGAGCCGCATGCTTCCTTTACTTTGTGCTTTCTAAGATGTAGTCCCTGTACAATTTGCATGTGTTGTAGTTTAATGGTCTTATCCATATCCTGTTAATTAATTTTAAAGAAATATAAATGTTCAGTAACAAAATATTATGAATTCACAGTGTGTCAGTGTGAGCTTATGGCATGATGCATCATCCATTGTCTCGCATTCAGTGTCTGGCTAACAACATGTAATTTATCCTCAAATGACCTCTTCAAAACATCATGGTAGTAAAAAGTCCTAATGTTTGGAGTATTTTTCCTTTTATATATAAATATTTCTCATTCTAAACCATGAATTCTGTGCTCAAACTAATGTTCTTGTAACTCACACTGTAATCATATGTCCAATTAAATGTAAAAGGTGTGATATTAAAAGCAGTATAGCCATACATGTCTTCCAAAATTCCTCAAAATCATTGCAAAATGTGATATTTGAACAAATTCCTCTGCATCTTTTCAAGGTCATGTGTTTTCAGTCTTTGTGATCAATTGGCTAATTTAAAAGGTACAACATGTATCTGTTATAAAACCAGGTGACTCACTCAGACCCTTTGGCCTCCTGTTTTGGTTGAAATCTTTGTAAATGCAAACATAAATAATTTGTATCTTTGATCCAAAATTGTTTTAAGTACATTCCACCTATAATTTTAATATTATTAAGTTTAGATTACACAGACTAATAAGGTGAGCTATCAGGAGTTATTGGCCCTCTTGCATTGTATTCAGTATGACCAACTCTAGTGTGTACATATGAAATCTACCTTGATTTTGAGAAAGAGGATTAATTTTTGTAGAGAATTATTTTCACTTGTGTAAATGTTAGTTGTTTAAGATTGATAAGTTGTGATGTAACAGAAGTTTGAAAATAACTACATTTGTATGGACACTGCCTAAAGATATGTCCCACATATATCCTATCTGCCTCTATAAAAAAAGGGTGAGATATTAAGAAAAAAAATTAACCTCAGTTCAGATTGTAATGTATTTGGTGAATTTGAGAGATTAAGAGAGGTTCCACTGTACACCTATGTTACACACTGTTACAGTAATGTTTTATGTTTCCCTCATTCCTCCCTACAGATTCATGAGTCATTACAATGGGTAACTGTCGTTCTGTTGATTTCATTATAGATTATATTAATTATTATCATTTCAAATAAAATGTGTATTGCTTGACTATTTTTTGAGAATCACCATTTTTCACTGATCTGTCAATTTCCTAAAGTGACATGAAACGTACTGATAGTGGGTGTTCATGTAATAGTTTGTGAAGAAGCACATTTGAAGGTAATAATTGTTTGTAGTTTATAATTTGATAAAAATATTTCCAAAACAAGACTTGATCATCAGTAAAGATTCATAAAACAGAAACTGATGATTCTCACAAAATACAAGCACTACACAGTATATACTTTCTATGGTAGTAGAGTATGCCCTAATTGGTTATATGCTACCTGTATATGTGCACAGCTAGATACCTGGTGTATGTGATGGGAGTTGTATATTATACCACAGTCACAGAATTATTAATATTTGTAAATGTAGTCCCACTTTTGCATGCAAAGAATGAAAATATATAAAACTGTTTTGACAATACAAAGACATAAATAACGTCAAGGTCTGCATTTAATGGCTTCTTAAACTGCCAATAAAAGATTGTTTTTAGTTTCTAGAAAATAAAGATTGTGGTTATCATGTAATGTGACCGTCAAGAAAGAGTCTAGATGGCAGCCAGTAGTGACAACAAAAGATTGGTGCCCACGTCCAACCTGAAAATTTGCTGTTCTGAAATACTATCTGTCAAAGACAGGTACCTGTATATGATCTAAGAAATATGCAAATGCTGCACACATCCTTCACTTTCTCTCTGTTCATATTGTCAGAAATATTTGCAAAAACAGCAAGAATTAGTGGTAGCATGTAGTTTGAAAGTGAGGCAGGGCTTGTGGATAAAATCTAGCAGATAGAAATAGTGTTTTTGACCACAACAAATTGGCAGTGAAGGATGTATGTAGCTTTGACATATTTCTCAGCTCATACAGGCACTTGTCATGGTCAGATAATGTTAAACAACATATTTTTAGCTCACCTGCCCAAAGGGCAAGTGAGCTTATGTCATGGTGCGGCGTCCTTCGCCCGGCCGGCCACAGCATCCGACAACTTTTCCTTTAAACGACTTCTTCTGAAGAACGGACAGGCGTAGAGCCATTATATTTGATTGAAAGCTTCCTTGACAGGAGCCCAACAAAGTTTGAGAATGAAAATGACCTTGACCTACTTTAAAGGTCACAGCAGTCAAATATGTCAAACACTTCAACGACTTCTAAAGAAGAAATAAAAGGTATATAATCTTCAAAATTGGCTCGTGGCTTTCTTGGATAGAGCCCATTAAGGGCTGCCAAAGGGGTCAATTGTCTTAAAAACCTTTAAATGACTTCTTCTGTGTAACAAAAAAGTCCAGAGTGATGATATTTGGTCAGAAGGGTTTGTTCAAATGAATGACCTTCGTCCATATTCAAGGTCACATGGGTCAATTGTCTTGAAATTCTTTAAACGACTTCTGTATAACCAAAAGGTCCAGGGTGATGATATTTGGCCAGAAGGATGTTTGGGATGAAGGTATACCAAGTTTGTTCAAATGAATGACCTTCGACCATATTCAAGGTCACATGGGTCAATTGTCTTGAGATTCTTTAAACGACTTCTGGATAACCAAAAGGTCAAGGGTGATGATATTTGGCTATAAGGGTGTTGGCATGAAGGGCTATAAAGTTTGTTCAAATAATTGACCTTTGCTCATATTCTAGGTCACAGGGGTCAATTGTCTTGAAAACCTTTAAACTACTTCTTCTGTATAACCAAAAGATCCAGGGTGATGATATTTGGCCAGAAGAATGTTTGCATGAAAGGCTACCAAGTTTGTTTAAACAAATGACTTTCACTCATAATCAAGGTCACAGGGGTCAATTGTCTTAAAGAATCTTTAAACAACTTCTGAATAACTCAGAGGCCTAGCTAGGCTAATAATATTTGGCAAGTAACTTGCTAGAATGAAGGGCTACCAAGTTTGTTCAAATGAATTACCTTTACTTATATTCAAGGCCACAGGGGTCAAATATGTTAAAAACCTTTTAAACAACTTTTTCTCAATAACCAAGAGGCTTAGGATAACGTTAATTGGCCTGTAGCATGCTGGGATGAAGGTATACCAAGTTTGTTCAAATGAATGACCTTGGCAAATATTCAAGGTCACAATGGTGAAAAATGTTTAAAACATTTAAACAACTTCTTCTCAATGACCGCAAGTATTAGGAGAATGATATTTTGCCAGGAGCATGCTGGGATGAAGGGCTACAAAGTTTGTTCAATTGAATGACCTTGACTTATATTCAAGGTCACAGGGGTGAAATATGTAAAAACAAAAGACATTTAAACAACTTCTTCTGAATAACTAAGAGGCCTAGGGTTAAGGTATTTGGCCAGTAGCATGCTGGTATGAAGGGCTACCTAGTTTGTTCAAATGAATGACCTTCATCCATTTTCAAGGTCACAGGGGTAAATTGTATTATCAAATCTTTAAACAACTTCTTCTGAATAACTAAGAAGCCTAGGATAATGATATTTGGCCAGCAACATGCCAGGATGAAGGGCTACCAAGTTTGTTCAAATGAATGACCTTGGCAAATATTCAAGGTCACAATGGTAAAAAATGTTTAAAACATTTAAGCAACTTCTTCTCAATGACCGCAAGTATTAGGAGACTGATATTTTGACAGGAGCATGCTGGGATGAAGGGCTACAAAGTTTGTTCAATTGACTGACCTTGACTTATATTCAAGGTCACAGGGGTTAAATATGTAAAAACAAAAGACATTTAAACAACTTCTTCTGAATAACTAAGAGGCCTAGGGTTAAGGTATTTGGCCAGTAGCATGCTGGGATAAAGGGCAACCAAGTTTATTCAAATGAATGATTTTTACTTGTATTCAAGGTCACTGGGGTCAAATATGTTTAAAACCTTTAAACAACTTTTCAATAACCGAAAGTCCTAGGATGATGATATTTGGCCAGTAGCATGCTGGTATGAAGGGCTACCTAGTTTGTTCAAATGAATGACCTTTACTTATTTTCAAGGTCACAGGGGTCAAATATGTTTAAAACCTTTAAACGACTTCTTCTAAATTGGCCAAAGGCCAAGGGTGATGATATTTGGTCATTAACAGGCTGGGATGAAGGGATACCAATTTTGTCAAAATGAATGCCCTTTGCCCATATTCAAGGTCACAGTGGTCAATATATGTTTAAATCTTGAAATGACTTGTTCTGTATAACCAATAGGTCCAGGGTAATGATATTTTGCCAAAAGCATGCTGGGTTAGAAGACTTTAACTCTGTTCAACCTAATGTCCTTTTTCGACATTCAAGGTCACAGGCGTCATATGTTTAAATCTTTTAATAGGTTCTTATGAATCAAACACTGACATTCTGCCTCTAGCTGTATTTTAGTCCACTTTTAAGATTACAAGTGTGTGATTAATACCAGGTGAGTGATTCAGGCCCATTGGGCCTCTTGTAATGAGTAAGGGCCTACCTGGGTATACAAAGTACATATCCTGTCAGACCTAGCCAGTTAAGATAACATCAATGCCTGAAACAATATAATGTAATTTTGTGAACACTTTCATTTTACACAAATTGTCCAACATGAGGCATACTAGGTAACGCTGTGTAAAACATGACATTGTATGATTAAACTTTTTATATATTGGAAAAGTATCATTGAGACTGACATGGAAACATTACATGATCAAGCTGGTATACACACACGTGATGTGTCTCAAGTGATACATTCTCATTGAGATCACCACCAAGGAGGTACATGTGTGCATCAAATGGAATTGTCATGTAGACCACAGCGATTAAGTGTTCGAACACACTAGACACTCCAGGCTTACTTACTTTAAGAGTTCCCATACGGGTTTCAAACCTATTTGTATTGGGTTGGACTGTTGTGTGGTCAACGACCTGGCGATTGTTACGTCTCCTTTTCGTTTATAGTATCAACAATATAATATAAAAACCCGTACAGATTAATGATAACTTGGACATGTTAAACAATGGTTACGGTTTGGAATGGATGGTACACAAGCTAAAACAAGTACACATGTATGGTGTATACACATAGTATCAATAATACATCTAGGGTATATATCTACCAAATATTAAGTATATATGTATCCATGCAAGCTTCTGAGGGTTGCATTATCATAAACCTGTAGCCTCATTTTGTTAACAATTTGCAAGTATTTTATATGTTTGTTATTTGTTGGTGGAAGTTAAATTAATATTTTGAACTTAACATTATCAAGTTCCTTGTTGCCTATGTTGGTTAAACAGGTTTTTCACGAGGTGTTTTAAAAAAATTCAACTTAAATTTTTGGAATGGATTTATTTTTTACTGTATATAGTTAGTGAGGTAAAGTAGTTTTAAGTTGTAGTCGGGCATTTTGTTATTGTTCTGCCTTTTATAGTCCCTCTCCCAATGAAGTAAAGTATGTATTTAACTGACAGTTTCACACAATATTTTTTGCAAAACATAAAAGATTATTCTTGGTCTTAATTAGAGATGCTTTCTACTTGAGAGTGTTGTAAAATCTAACCCTAGCGCTGAAGATATGTGCAAGATGAATTGATGCTTAAACAATATCAAATCAACTTATGTTAGCATATCTTAGTTTTCAAAAACAACTGTTGATATCGGATTGAGAGTATACCTGGAACCAGAGCTGAATTTGATTAAACTTACTTGATTATGACTAAAACAGTAACACATGAATGTATTATGTAGTCGAATTCCATTGCCATTTGAAATTTATGTTTTCATGTCGATAAAACTTGAATTTAAATGTTTTAGTTTGTAAGCACATAGAAATTGCAAGAAAAGGTCTTAATGTAATAATGCTGTTATAATGACTGGTCGGACTGATAAGTGAATCTACATTAAATGTTAATATAAAATATATATCAACGACCTCAGTAAGCACGCTATCACTCAAATAAAAGTCACACTGCCAGTACATGAATAATGAGGTATGTGTAGGGATGGTGGTTTGTGCTAATGTAGTCCACTCTTTAGTGATAGCTGACCTTTGTCTTCATCTTATAACCTCTTTGCAGTGCGACTTTTAATTCTATAACGCACGAGTAACTGTTAGACGAGAGGTTGGACTATTATATATGACATTGATACCTGAGCATGCCTGGAAGAGTGATAGACTAGAGGTTGGACTATTATATATGACATTGATACCTGAGGATGCCTGGAAGAGTGATAGACGAGAGGTTGGACTATTATATATTACATTGATACCTGAGCATGACTGGAAGAGTGATAGGCGAGAGGTTGGACTATTATATATGACATTGATACCTGAGGATGCCTGGAAGAGTGATAGACGAGAGGTTGGAATATTATATATGACATTGACACCTGAGTATGCCTGGAAGAGTGATAGACAAGAGGTTGGAATATTATATATGACATTGACACCTGAGTATGCCTGGAAGAGTGATAGACAAGAGGTTGGAATATTATATATGACATTGACACCTGAGTATGCCTGGAAGAGTGATAGACAAGAGGTTGGAATATTATATATGACATTGACACCTGAGTATGCCTGGAAGAGTGATAGACAAGAGGTTGGAATATTATATATGACATTGACACCTGAGCATGCCTAGAAGAGTGAAAGGCGAGAGGTTGGAATATTATATATGACATTGACACCTGAGTATGCCTGGAAGAGTGATAGACAAGAGGTTGGAATATTATATATGACATTGACACCTGAGTATGCCTGGAAGAGTGATAGACAAGAGGTTGGAATATTATATATGACATTGACACCTGAGCATGCCTGGAAGAGTGAAAGGCGAGAGGTTGGAATATTATATATGACATTGACACCTGAGCATGCCTGGAAGAGTGATAGGAGAGAGGTTGGAATATTATATATTACTTTGATACCTGAGCATGCCTGAAAGAGTGATAGATTAGAGGTTGGAATATTATATAAGATATTGATACCTGAGCATGCCTGGAAGAGGGATAGACTAGAGGTTGGAATATTATATATGACTTTTATACCTGAGCATGCCTGAAAGAGTGATAGACTAGAGGTTGTAATATTAAATATAAGATATTGATACCTGAGCATGCCTGGAAGAGTGATAGGCTAGAGGTTGGAATATTATATATGACTTTGATACCTGAGCATGCCTGGAAGAGTGATAGGCTAGAGGTTGGAATATTATATATGACTTTGATACCTGAGCATGCCTGAAAGAGTGATAGACTAGAGGTTGGAATATTAAATATAAGATATTGATACCTGAGCATGCCTGGAAGAGTGATAGACTAGAGGTTGGAATATTATATATGACATTTATACCTGAGCATGACTGGAAGAGTGATAGACGAGAGGTTGGAATATTATATATGACATTGATACCTGAGTATGCCTGGAAGAAGAAGTATGGTTAACTTTATCCTTGAAGGCAGTTGTTAAAAAGATACGGCCATAACGTAGCTCTTTGGAATCATATAGTTTTAGTTACTAGATTAATAGCATGCTTTACCTACACCTGTCCAATAGTTTGGTACAATAATATAACATAGACCTAGCATATTAGGAGACTTACTATTGGGTTTACTGAGATTTACTTTACAAAGTTAATTATCTAGTACAGGTGTTGAACGTTTAATAAGTTTGTTGTCCCCTTAGTCGATGCTGACACGATTAAGTCACTGGTCCTGCCTTAAGATTAATGTATTAACAATACATAACCAGTGAAGTTGCTGTTTCCCAGTCATTGTTGTTAGGTGTCATTTTATAGATGTACAGATCAGGAATCCCATCACGAGTACATTATATAAACCGAGTTGTAGTTTGTATGTTGGATATTAAAGCGAACAAATAAAGTTTGTAGAAAATAAAAAATTGGTTTATAAACATTACATTTTGAACATGATTAACTATATTATTGCTGGACAGGGACTTTATCACAAGTCTATCAGTATGACCTTTTGCTTGACGAGTAAGAAGTAAATACTACGACAGGTTACACACGTATACTACATACATTAGGAGGATACTAAACAGGTTAATGAATTACCTGGATCGCAGCTATGGTTCGCAGTTTAAAACTCAGCTTATATCTTTCGCATTCTTCTTACATGTATAAGTCATAAAAACTGTTTTGCAATGGGATGAAATATTGTTCTATCAGCCCCATTGCTCTGAAAGTTAACCTTCTTTTCCGTGAAATCATTTGTTACCCAAACAACTTGATCCCATATCATGACACAAACGATAAATTACCAAAGTGGATCAGTTCCATCTTATAAAACCATTAAACAATTACCGTAAAGAGTATATAGAGTTTACGTATTTAATGTATAAGTTCGTACAGATGTTAAATAATGACTTAAAGCGTATATAGAGGTTACGTATTTAATGTGTAAGTACGTACAGATGTTAAACAATTAACGTAAATAGTATATAGAGTTTACGTATTTAATGTATAAGTTCGTACAGATGTTAAATAATGACCTAAAGAGTATATAGAGTTTACGTATTTAATGTATAAGTTCGTACAGATGTTAAATAATGACTTAAAGCGTATATAGAGTTTACGTATTTAATGTGTAAGTACGTACAGATGTTAAACAATTAACGTAAAGAGTATATATAGTTTACGTATTTAATGTATAAGTATGTACAGATGTTAAGCAATTACCGTAAAGAGTATATAGAGTTTACGTATTTAATGTATAAGTTCGTACAGATGTTAAATAATGACCTAAAGAGTATAAAGAGTTTACGTATTTAATGTATAAGTACGTACATATGTTAAATAATGACCTAAATAGTATATAGAGTTCACATATTTAATGTATAAGTATGTACAGATGTTAAATAATGACCTAAAGCGTATATAGAGTTCACGTATTTAATGTATAAGTACGTACAGATGTTAAATAATGACCGTAAAGAGTATATAGAGTTTACGTATTTAATGTATAAGTACGTACAGATGTTAAATAATGACCTAAATAGTATATAGAGTTCACATATTTAATGTATAAGTACGTACAGATGTTAAATAATGACTTAAAGCGTATATAGAGGTTACGTATTTAATGTGTAAGTACGTACAGATGTTAAATAATGACCTAAATAGTATATAGAGTTCACATATTTAATGTATAAGTACGTACAGATGTTAAATAATGACTTAAAGCGTATATAGAGTTTACGTATTTAATGTGTAAGTACGTACAGATGTTAAATAATGACCTAAATAGTATATAGAGTTCACATATTTAATGTATAAGTATGTACAGATGTTAAATAATGACCTAAAGAGTATATAGAGTTTACGTATTTAACGTGTAAGTACGTACAGATGTTAAATAATGACCTAAAGAGAATATAGAGATTACGTATTTAATGTGTAAGTACGTACAGATGTTAAACAATTAACGTAAAGAGTATATATAGTTTACGTATTTAATGTATAAGTATGTACAGATGTTAAGCAATTACCGTAAAGAGTATATAGAGTTTACGTATATAATGTATAAGTATTTACATATGTTAAATAATGACCTAAAGAGTATATAGAGTTTACGTATTTAACGTGTAAGTACGTACAGATGTTAAATAATGACCTAAATAGTATATAGAGTTCACATATTTAATGTATAAGTACGTACAGATGTTAAATAATGACCTAAAGTGTATATAGAGTTTACGTATTTAATGTATAAGTACGTCCAGATGTTAAATAATGACCTAAAGAGTATATAGAGTTTACGTATTTAATGTGTAAGTACGTACAGATGTTAAACAATTAACGTAAATAGTATATAGAGTTTACGTATTTAATGTATAAGTTCGTACAGATGTTAAATAATGACTTAAAGCGTATATAGAGGTTACGTATTTAATGTGTAAGTACGTACAGATGTTAAATAATGACCTAAAGCGTATGCCAAGATAGGAAGATGTATGGATACTGTTGACATCATCGCGACACTAATGAAGTTCTAAGGGGTTTTAAATTGTAAATAAAATGGGGAAGTTCTAATTAAAACGCCACATTGAATATACGGTTTACGGTGTATAAAGTCCTCTAGACCTGTCATCTAATAGGGTTGAGGTTAATATCACTGAAACACTTATCAAATATTGCATGGGAGCCTGTAAATCATAGCGTTAGTTTAATACCTTTTGTATATTTTCTATTAACTTCCAATCATGTAGAAAGTAGGATATATTACCTTTTATATATTTTCTATTAACTTCCAATCATGTAGAAAGTAGGATATATTTTATATTTCATTACATCATATTATACTTGTATTTCGAATCGTTTTCAGTAAGCTAGATATAAGTGTGTAGCGTTGATAGTTAAACATTACGATTTCTTTGCTAAAAATATTTCAATTTTTGTTGTTTCCAATTTTGACTTTGTTTTTCTGTATCATTTTCAAAGATTAACATTACTTTAAACATTTGCATGAACAATTTTAAATGTTGATAGTCATAGACTTTTGCCATATTTCTTTGTGATGCTTTTGAAATTAAAATATCGTATTTTGTGTTCTCTGCCATTTTATACTGAATAAGTTATATTTATTAAGTGCTATACTTCCAGGGTGATCAGAAGGTTAGATGAACATAACAATTTCTTCCCAGCATTCAGAGAAATTATGAACAAACTGATGGACATTTTAGGTAAGTTGATGGCGCCTGAAAACACATTGTATCGCTAAACAATACTTTTTAATTAAAGAATATTCACGATTGAAAACCAATCTTATTGGTTACATATTTGAAGTGTGCCGTTGGTGTAAAATAAAAATGTTCAGATAACAATGAATATGAATTTCCTATGTATGTGTGAAATTATAGCCTTTTTCGTTGATGATATATTCAGACCTACAGAGAATGGACCAGGTCATTCCCGCAGTGCGAGCCCTCAAGCTGTTAGCAAGCTGATCGGGACGAGATTTCACTGTATCCGTCCAACAAACAAGTTAAACACTTGAGTGTAAAATACCAAAGCTTTCTTCAGGGCATATTTGTGAAAAACTACTAATGCACAGTGGAGTTCAAGGCAGCTTACATGTTTTTGATGTGTGATTTACTGATCAAAGCACAGCGGCATTTGTTTTGTTGATGGTAATACCATGACATTGTATTAAATGGGGATGTGATATTTTTTAATGTTTAAAAGCCCAAACTGTGTTGTTGAAGCAGCAGTGACATTAAAAAGATATTCTGAAATGCTTCCAAGCCAAAATATTGACACAGAGTTGAGCCCTGTTGTAATCTTTCACACATAACGTCTTGTTTGTTTTTTAAAGACTGGTTGTTTTATCATAACGGGCGTTGCTGTGACTAGTTCATACTGAAGCTGTATTTTGAACATTTTTAACATTTCAATGAATGTTCGTCGTATTAAGCATATTACTTAATGTAAAAGGAATGTTGATGAGACTATGAATGGAAACAAGAACGACTTTTAATATAGTTTAGCTATGCAACAGTTGTTTTGCACTGTAAACGATCCAGCCGATAGAATATGTATCGGCTGAAATATTTTGTAACCATTTTTTTTTTAATATTTTAGGTAGTCAGCTTGTTTCTTCATATGGGGAAATGATTAAACCTACATTTGTAATCATATATTGATAGAACGTTGGAATTATTCATATTCAGAATACTGCTATGATTTGTAAATGTGTGGTGTAAAGATCATCAGCTATTATATTGGAAGGGCTAGGAATTTGCAAATTGCAATTTGATATGAATACCACATGGTGTAGGAAACGCCTCTCCGGAACCTCTGGTTTTATCTCCGTTTTAATGGAGGTTCGTGATAGTTTCTGTGGGGGTTTCCTTGGTTAAAGTTGTAGTCGAGTAACGATTTTGTCCTAATGTATGCACGCTATGCACTTTGTTCTGCGTTTTAACTAGCATATATCGAACGTGGATAGGTCACAAGAGGAAATGTTTAATTTGTAATAAAAGTAACTTGCATCCAAAACAGTTGTAAGTTTCTTGTCTTATAAAAGTGAGTTGGCTAAGGTCGCCCTGTTGATGAAGAATTGGAGGATATTGGTATTAAAACGTAACTACTGGTAATGATTACTAAATAAGGGTAAGGAGAAATATCATATTCTTTTATTGATAACAATCACTCTTAATGATTTTTTTAATTTTAATTTGTTGTAAGTACTAAAGGAAGTTCAGATACATACAGAAAAGTTATTAATGAATGATAGCTTGGTGAGAACTAAACTAAAATTCATTGATTATTGATTTATGCATGTCGTTGTTATAATACGATTAATAAAGATATTGCAACAGAAATAGCATTAAAAGGTAGATTATTGCTCAGCAGCATTGCATTTCGTGAATATTTTTTCTAGCAATACGTTTATGCATGTTTAGATAAAACGACTATCAATACGTTTTCTTTTGTTGTGTGACTTTATCCAATGTTCAAGGCAACATTGTTGTATATTCTGAAAGACTGTTAGATACACGTCAATTAAAAGCAGATATTTAGATTGATATTTACTGCTAATCATTTTGGAGATTGAAGAAGACATTGTAATTATACTGATACCTTCTAGAATACATTTAAAGTTTATATTCGTTTAATGTTATATTTCTTTTCGCTAGGCATACTTTTTTTTGTGTAGATAATTTCATATTTATATTGTGCTACGTCTATATCAAATAAATTACAAAACAAGTGATTACAAGGTTTGTTCATGTTATTATTAATGTTTGTGTATTCACGAGTCGTGTACACTGTCGAGTAACAGGTGGGAAGTGTCACAATGTTCATGCTGCGACATTGGCAAATGACAATAAAAATCAAAACAAATGTCAAACATGACACCTATTGTCATCGCAAGCAATATACAAAGTGTACTTCTATGAAAATATGCCAAGATAGAATGATACTCGTCGTCAAGTATTTCTTTAGGTCGAGGGAGATATTTTTAATAGCATATCATCCAACTTTGATTATACATATTTGTTTAAATTTTATTACTTTTTTAATATATTTATTAATTTTAGGATGTTGTTTATGGCTCAAGATTAACGTCGTTTTATAGGTTAAGACAAACCGAATCAAATCTACATTTTATGGAACTACGTATAAAGTATCGAATGTCAAACGAACTAAATAAAAAGTTCATGAGTATATGTCTAACGTTTTACCTAAAGAAATCTTACTGCTCATGACTATAATAAGTTATCGCATATTAAACGATCCAAATTAATACTATAGTTTCTTATTAAAGGTTTAGATATCGCACGTCATACGAACTGAACAAAATCACTCCCTTTGTTAAGGTAGCATTGCTAATCCGACGAACCAAATTAAAACTGGTTTGTCGTGATAGGCCTAATGCATTACCTGTTAAACGGAATGGATTATAAAACCAGTTCACATCTCTAGATCAAACGTATCACATATCTGACGAACCGGTTTGAAAATGCGGTTCTCGTAGTTTCAGGCCAATGTATTTCCGTTTAAACGGTTGAACGAAAACTAGTGAATTTCTATAGATCAAAATTCGGTGTGTTACAAGTCTGACGAACCGGTTCAGTTCAATATTTGTACGTAGATGAGGTCACTTGAGGTATGTACAAAATATTATGATATATTTACAGCAATAAGTAACAGCTATTGATTGTTTGATGTGATGATCGGAGAAGCAAATTGAAAGCACACAGCTTACTCATTAAATGTAATCTTAAGTTATCAAAATGGTTATCTTACTATCGTCTACATAATAGAAAGAAAAGGTTTTTGAAAGGTCACTTCTTTCAGAACGTTTTACCGTCAGTAAATATTTAAAGAAATATTGGCAATTAGAAATTTGTCGGGGGAAAATATCAGAATAATAGATTAAGGTAAGAGGATTGTGTCGCCATTTCTCAGTAGAATTCCTTCACATTTTGTAGTTATATTGCTTTGAAGTAAAGAAAAATGTCTGCCACAAAACAATGTATATCAATGTCATACATGCTGAAATTGTGTACAATTAATGTTCTATAAACGATTAAAAATTGACATTTCATAATAAAACCATATACACATAATAATTGCATGTAAGAGTTATCGTTCTTGAAAAAATCACAGTAGTGAAATAGGTAGCCGGTTTCTTGGAAGTACAGAAAAATGGACACATGTGACTCATTGATTAAAAAACAACTGAATTAATGCCTGGATTGCTTTGAAATACTTTAATATTGAAAGAACACACTGTTCTGTCAATAATAAACATACAATGTTCATCAGTTTAGTATTAAACATTAGAATATGCGGAAATTGTGATACTGTTTCCCTACATTGAATTTTCAACTAGGGATGTACTTCCTATTTCCGTTTAGCAACCAACAAGCTGTAAATTTATAACATTTTTCGAAGAAATCTTTACTCTGCAGGACTGTCTTTTAACTCGGTTAATTTTAGAAGTCCTAAAATTTCCTCTGACTTTAGGTATGTCAAAACATATCTAAAAGGTAAGTTGAAAGCCCTGAATTGAAAAAAATTGTATAACATAATTATGTTATCGACAGCGTATCTTCTGTTACAAGACGACTTCTATATGGGATACATAACAAAACACAAATTTTGAATTTCTTGCATTATAAAAAAAAATCAAAACTCTGGGCTAGGCAAACGTAAATGGAAATTCAAATCTCGGAGTGATTTGTTTGATACAGCTTTTAAAATTCCCGTGTAGCTATAAAAAGTCTGGCATTCATTGTCAACTTTAAGAACGTCATTGTAAGACATGTGCAATCTCCATGAACTAGCTGTTAGTGAGGAGTTAGCTCGGGTAGTTCCATAGTATTTTCCATTAGAGCCAGCAGCCGTGTGATTGTGTAGCCACATATCAAAACTGTCTGAAGCAGTCAGTCCCAGAAAGTTGAACAAACTTGCTGATGCCGATTTAGGATGTTCGGCGATCTGTTCATACAGATACGTTTTCAGACGTCCAGGGTACTTCTGTTTGAGTTTCGTGGCTATTTCTATATCACGTTCGAACCGTTCGCACACTGATCGTGCAACGGTTGTTATATCTACATCCATCCGGGGCCCCAGAAACCCTCCACGTTTCCTGGATTCTATCATTCCTCGTGGATCACGAAGAAGGTGAATGACCTTCAGTCTTGGAATTATTTTCATTAGAATTTCTACAATATCCATTGACAGCCGAATAGTTTTCAAATATCTTGTCGATTCAAAGCACTGATGTAAACAAAACTGATTGTCTGCATTGAGCTGTGTTGTAACGTGTGTGCAATCTTTGTACCGTTTCACAGACATGCTAGTTTCACTCCACAAAAACGGTCCAACCACATGTTCCAGATCGCAACCGTAGTAACGAACGATGTCTTCTATATATAGTTGGGGTAATTCCGATGTTAGCGTAGGCTGCCTAAAGGAAAATGTGATATTATTATGAATCATTACCACAGTATTTTAACAACCTTTACACAAACTCTTGCTTGACTATTGCTTTAGATTATTACAACAATATTTTAAAAGGTTTGATATGGATTTTTAAAACATTCTTCTGGTAGGACGATATAAAGATCGCATTATTGTCATTTGAAATAAACACCAATGGTTTTTAAATGAGGATGGTATTAATCACCTCTTAAATAGCTTATCATATAGGGACGAGATGTCTTTGCTGTATATGTTAGTCGTTACTACAATCCTACTGGGACGTGATTTCTTTGATGTTTATGTTAGTCGTTACTACCTTCCTACTGGGACGAGATGTCTTTGCTGTATATGTTAGTTGTTACTACAATCCTACTGGGACGAGATTTCTTTGATGTTTATGTTAGTCGTTTTACTACAATCCTACTGGGACGAGATGTCTTTGCTGTATATGTTAGTCATTACTACAATCCTACTGGAACGATATTTCTTTGATGTTTATGTTAGTCGTTACTACATTCCTACTGGGACGAGATGTCTTTGCTGTATATGTTAGTCGTTACTACGATCCTACTGGGACTAGATGTCTTTGCTGTATATGTTAGTTGTTACCACATTCCTACTGGGACGAGATGTCTTTGCTGTATATGTTTGTCGTTTCTACATTCCTTCTGGGACGAGATGTCTTTGCTGTATATGTTAGTCATTACTACAATCCTACTGGAACGAGATTTCTTTGATGTTTATGTTAGTCGTTACTGCAATCCTACTGGGACGAGATGTCTTTGCTGTATATGTTAGTCGTTACTACGATCCTACTGGGACGAGATGTCTTTGCTGTATATGTTAGTTGTTACTACATTCCTACTGGGACGAGATGTCTTTGCTGTATATGTTAGTCTTTACTACAATCCTACTGGGACGAGATGTCTGTGTTGTATATGTTAGTCGTTACTACAATCCTACTGGGACGAGATATCTTTGCTGTATATGTTAATCGTTACTACAATCCTACTGGGACGAGATGTAACGTATTTATATTTGGATCTATTTCGCTCTTTTGTTTACCTGCATGTTAAGTTATTCATCGAGCAGATTCCATTCATTGATATATATCCGTTATCCGTTGCTATGTACCGCCTTAGTGGTTCATATGCGTAGAACACCCCGGGGACCTGTTGTATGATGTCGGCAGTGAGAGTAGACCCACTACGGAGGTACGTAAGGAGAAGCACCAGGTCTATAAATACAGACAATTTGCAGAGGTTACATTACTATTATTGGGATCGCATCAGAGAAAAACATAGTTATTGAGTAGAATTACTCTTTTAAGTCTATGAAACAGTAGCATTATTGGGTAACACTTACACACAAAAAAGTCAAGACCTCTGAAGACAAAAGAATAGCATTACCGAAACTCATCTAGGTATGACAGAATATCATTGCTACAAAAACTCCCCATAATATAACATTTATTGGAGACTCCTTACGACTGAACAGGGTAATAGAGCTATATATAACGCATACCTCTACGGATGAAAGATATATGCTAATATTATTTTGTAAAATGCTTTCGAAAATGTCTGTTCATTTTAACCATTATCATATATATAATACTGAAAAATAACACAATGGGAAGAAGAGAATTTGCTGTAGCACTTATTTCAAGATCAGACGGAAAAAGAGGTGCACGTGGTCTTCAAATTATATCCTATTCACAGACAATACAGCAATGCTATCTAAATGAATATGGAATTGACAGATCTTCCAAATGTATTCTTGCTTGATTGGTCTAATTATAATGTACAAATTCAACTTCAAAAGAATTAACATATACTATGATATTGTGTTATTTTTGTAACATGACTATAAACTTTATATATTACTTCTAACGTGATTCTGGTTCTTGTTTGTAATTAGCAACATTCTTTTGGATATAAGCTGATAGCTCGTTTCTTCTATCGAAATGCTATAGAATGTATGTGATATTTAGCATAACTATCATGATATAACATTTTAATCAACGTGGTGTATTATCATTAACGTGTTATAACATTTTTATCATTGTATATTTACATTAATTTCTGTATACTTCTGTTAAGGAACTAATCATGACGTGAAATTCAAATTTCGACAGACATTTCCGAATAGTTTCTGATGGACATTTATTACCTGTTCATAATTTGATGAATCTATTTGATCAAAATACATGAGCGAAATAAAGAACCAGCAGGTAAAACACATTTGTTTCGTTGTTTTGGAAATTAATATAAGGATTGAAGTAATCTTTGTAACATTCACGATGGTATGCAACACAATAATATGAATACTGGCGTGATATAACTATACTAACGTACTATAACTGTATTCATATGATAACTGATAACAGTACCAACGTGATAAATGTAAACCACTTACGAATATCACCTTATATGTGAATCGGACAACATCAATCGTTACTCACTGTTTTGCCGGACAGCAGCCACACTCGACCTGTATCTCTTCCTGGGCGAATCTGTAAAACCTTAACCGTAATATATAGATATTTACGCTATTACAGCAAATGAAATTCAATACTTCATTATTACGTCTAAAATGGTTCAAGAAACTTTCATTCTCCATCATGATACAGTTCATTATGATACAGTTCTTAGTTCTTTTACAAATGAAAGGACAAATGCCTATTGAGGCCAACACATATACATACTTTTAAAATCAAATTTCTTTCTTGAATGTTTTATTCCTCTTCCTTTCTCTTGTTGTTTTAACACAATATGTATATAACTCTTATATAATAAAAATTTGGAAATGAATCAAATGTAATATTTACGGTGAGTGTTTCCATGTGGTAGCTTTGTTCCTGGCATACTGTCTTGTTTAACATCACCGGTGTTCCCCATACCGTCACCATTGATGACATTATCTTTGTTGACCTTGACATGTTCCGCTGTCTGTATCACTGCGACATTTCCAAGGTTGATATGGTCCTGTAGGGTATAGGGCTTCCTCATTAGAGTTTCAGTGTACTGAGGTAGACCCCCACCAAACTGATGGTCACTGCTAGCTGTATGTACTTTCTCCGCGGCGATATAAGGAACATCAATGTTTATAACAGTGTGCTGCTTGGTAAGGCGAATGCTGTCTGGTATGCTCTGTTTAGTATTGACAATGCTGTCTGGTATGCTCTGTTTAGTATTGACAATGCTGTCTGGTATGCTCTGTTTAGTATTGACAATGTTGTCTGGTAAGCTCTGTTTAGTATTGACAATGTTGTCTGGCACATTGTTGATAAGAATACCCTGTTTAGTATTGGGAAACTTGTCTGGCACATTGTTGTTAAAAACACCCTGTTTAGTGTTGGGAAACTTGTCTGGTACATTGTTGTTAAAAACACCCTGTTTAGTGTTGGGAAACTTGTCTGGCACATTGTTGTTAAAAACACCCTGCTTAGTGTTGGGAAACTTGTCTGGCACATTGTTGTTAAAAACACCCTGTTTAGTATTGACAATGTTGTCTGGCACATTGTTGATAAGAATACCCTGTTTAGTGTTGGGAAACTTGTCTGGCACATTGTTGTTAAAAATACCCTGTTTAGTGTTGGGAAACTTGTCTCGCACATTGTTGTTAAAAATACCCTGTTTAGTGTTGGGAAACTTGTCTCGCACATTGTTGTTAAAAATACCCTGTTTAGTGTTGGGAAACTTGCCTGGTACATTGTTTATCACATTGCTTTGTTGAGTATTTAGGATGCTTCGTTGTACATCCGTGTTAAAACTACCCTGTTTTATAATGGGAATACTGTGTTGTAAATTGTTTATTACACTGCTCTGTTTAGTATTGGCAATGCTGTATGGTACAATGTTTATGAGTATACCCTGTTTAGTACTGGGATCGATGCCTGGTACATCATTTACTGTGTGATCTTCGATGTTGTTTCTTGTATCATAGCTTCTTCCCTGTTTGGTGTGGTCGATGTTTACACCTTCAGTTCCCGGATCTTTTCTGATTTGAGTATAACTGTATTCAAAGGTGTTCTCAGTGTACGCTGAAACAAATCAAGTGAAATTATTTTACAACATTGGTTATATATGTGTTATTAAGATAACATACAACTATCATTGAACAAAGGGTAGCTGTAAATGTTTCTTTTGATCAATTTACACACAAAAGTAAACTTCTATATCCATCGACTTACATACCCATACTGATCTTCTTCCCGAAGGCGCTTTTATTTCGAAAATATTCTGTGAATGACATTATTAGTTAACCCTTTTTGGGCAGAGAAAACACCCAGCCGCTTTCTACACATTAAATACTGTTGCTAAAGTTAACTAGACGAACATTTTAAGAAAATGAACTCCAGCCCAAACAGCAGTTCAAAATGTGTATGACATGGAAACATGAAACAAAAGAGTGAAGAACATGACGTCAATATTGGGTTTAGTTGTTCAAAAAACTTTTAACGGATTTATGACTTAAACTTCCACAAATAAATCATATACAAACCACAAAAGTTTCATTATTTTGTGTCCAGACTACTTTTGCTTTAATTATTATTTCCTGTCTACCAGTGAATATTCCTCTTCGGTTTTCTGTTCCATCTCTTTTTAACCGACCTTTCTCTCCTCGCCCGTTGCTTTCTACTTGTCTCTCTAACACACACATACGCACATGACTAACCGAACCGTAGAATAATCCTGAAGCTGAAGTAGTAATACAGCAATCGAGGTTATGCGATCGAGTGTGTCACCAATCATGACATCGCGCAATCATATCTCGACCAGCTCTACGTAATAAATCACTGTTAACTAATCATGCATCTTATGGATGAAATATATTCAAGCGGAAGAGTCATGTTCCCATGTTACATCGCATTGATGTTACAAAATTGACAACCATTATATATTGATATTTCCACATATGATATGAGGCGACGAATTCCTGTCAGACAATTACTATTAAATCTGAATGTATCACATTTAATTCCTGTCAGACAATTACTATTAACTCTGAATGTATCACATTTAATTCCTGTCAGACAATTACTATTAACTCTGAATGTATCACATTTAATTCCTGTCAGACAATTACTATTAACTCTGAATGTATCACATTTAATTCCTGTCAGACAATTACTATTAACTCTGAATGTATCACATTTAATTCCTGTCAGACAATTACTATTAACTCTGAATGAAGGCTATTATATTAAACACAGTGACAACATTATAGCGCCATAATACAAAACGACGACAAAATAATCCAGATAATTGAAAACAAACTGAAACATATTACTTACTTAGTAGTGTACCTCATTATTTAAATAGGTTAATTCACACTATAGTCGATTTAATAGAAGTCCCCGGATACATGTATGTGAACAGGACAATTCAGTCTAGACAATCCTGGTTACACGTACATGTATACATATTTGTACAGGATAAAGATGATAATATATCCATGATATGTGAGATCAGGACAGATATGAAGATTTAGGGAATACTTATATGTTGATATTATAACTGTTTAGTCATATTCGAGGACATAACTTAATATCGACATTATTCCTGATTATCTCACTCAAAGAATTGCCTTTTTAATATCACTTTCTTAATGAGTACTAAACACGTCAAATTCTTGTCAAAATTTGTAGCAATGAGATTCATCAACTTATCAGCATCTTCGCAGCAAGATAGTCGACAGATCAAGTGTATGTAAATAAACATTGCAACAACAACATCCCATGTCAAGAACATCCCATGTCAAGAACATCCCATGTCAACAACATCCCATGTTAACAACATCCCATGTCAACAACATCCCATGTCAACCACATCCCATGTCAACAACATCCCATGTTAACAACATCCCATGTCAACAACATCCCATGTCAACCACATCCCATGTCAACAACATCCCATGTCAACAAAATCCCATGTTAACAACATCGCAGGTCAACAACATCCCATGTCAACAACATCCATGTCAAAAACATCCCATGTCAACAACATCCCATGTCAACAAAATCCCATGTTAACAACATCGCAGGTCAACAACATCCCATGTCAACAACATCCATGTCAACAACATCCCATGTCAACAACATCCCATGTCAACAACATCAAGTTGATACAGGAACAAACAGAACTGGTCAGTAACCAAAATATAGACACTGCGACAGACGTTTAAAATAAATAAAAATACCATTTACCTTAGCTCGATCTATATAATCACCAATAATTACACAACCAAAACCGGCTCTGATGTAGAATGTAGACTTTACTTTAACTCGATCTATGTTATCACCAATAATTACACAACCAAAACCGGCACACGATGTACAATGTAGACTTTACTTTAACTCGATCTATATAATCACCAATAATTCAACAACCACAACAGGCACACGATGTAGAATGTAGACCTTACTTTAACTCGATCTATATAATCACCAATAATTACACAACCACAACCGGCACACGATGTAGAATGTAGACCTTACTTTAACTCGATCTATGTAATCACCAATAATTACACAACCAAAACCGGCACACGATGTAGAATGTAGACTTAACTTTACCTCGATCTATGTAATCACCAATAATTACACAACCAAAACCGGCTCTGATGTAGAATGTAGACTTTGCTTTAACGCGATCTATATAATCACAAATAATTACACAACCACAACCGGCACACGATGTAGAATGTAGACTTAACTTTACCTCGATCTATGTAATCACCAATAATTACACAATCACAACCGGCACACGATGTAGAATGTAGACTTTACTTTAACTCGATCTATATAATCACCAATAATTACACAACCGCCACAGGATGTAGAATGTAGACTTTACTTTAACTCGATCTTTATAATCACCAATAATTACACAACCAAAACCAGCACACGATGTAGAATGCAGACTTTACTTAAACTCGATCTATATAATCACCAATAATTACACAAACAAAACAGGCACACGATGTAGAATGTAGACTTTACTTATCCTCGATCTATATAATCACCAATAATTACACAAACAAAACAGGCACACGATGTAGAATGTTAACTTTACTTTAACTCGATCTATATAATCACCAATAATTAAACAACCAAGACCGGCACACGATGTAGAATGTAGACTTTACGTTAACTCGATCTATATAATCACCAAGAATTCCACAACCAAAACCGGCACACGAAGTAAACCACACGAAGTAAACCACACGAAGTAAAATGTAGACTTTACTTAAACCCCATCTATAAAACCACCAAAAATTACAAAACCAAAACCGGCCACGATGTAGAATGTAGACTTTATTTTAACTCGATCTATATAACCACCAATAATTACACAACCAAAACCGGCACACGATGTAGAATGTTAACTTTACTTTAACTCGATCTATATATTTACCTTAGCTCGATCTATATAATCACCAATAATTAAACAACCAAAACCGGCACACGATGTAGAATGTAGACATTACTTTAACTCGATCTATATACTCACCAATAATTAAACAACCAAAACCGACACACGATGAAGAATGTAGACTAAACGTTAACTCAATCTATATAATCACCAATAATTACACAATCAGCACACGATGTAGAATGTAGACTTCGTAGAATGTAGACTTTACTTTAACTCGATCGATATAATCACCAATAATTACACAAACAAAACAGGCACACGATGTAGAATGTAGACTTCGTAGAATGTAGACTTTACTTTAACTCGATCGATATAATCACCAATAATTACACACCCAAAACCGGCACACGATGTAGAATGTCGACTTTACTTTAACTCGATCTATGTGATCACCAATAATTACAAAACCAAAACCGGCTCTGATGTAGAATGTAGACTTTACTTAAACTCGATCTATATAATCACCAAGAATTCCACAACCAAAACCGGCACACGAAGTTAACCACACGAAGTAAAATGTAGACTTTACTTAAACCCCATCTATAAAATCGCCAAAAATTACAAAACCAAAACCGGCCGCGATGTAGAATGTAGACTTTATTTTAACTCGATCTATATAACCACCAATAATTTCCAAGCCAAAGCCGGCATACGAGGTAGAATGTTAACTTTACTTTAACTCGATCTATATATTTACCTTAGCTCGATCTATATAATCACCAATAATTAAACAACCAAGACCGGCACACGATGTAGAATGTAGACGTCACATTCACTCGATCTATATAATCACCAATAACTACACAACCAAAACCAGTACACGATGTAGAATGCAGACTTTACTTAAACTCGATTTATATAATCACAAATAATTACACAACCAAAACCGGCACACGATGTAGAATGTAGACTTTACTTTAACTCGATCTATATACTCACCAATAATTAAACAACCAAAACCGACACACGATGTAGAATGTAGACTAAACGTTAACTCAATCTATATAATCACCAATAATTACACAATCAAATCCGGCACACGATGTAGAATGTAGACTTCACTTTAACTCGATCTATATAATCACCAATAATTACACAACCAAAACCGGCACACGATGTAGAATGTAGACTTTACTTTAACTCGATCTATGTGATCACCAATAATTACAAAACCAAAACCGGCTCTGATGTAGAATGTAGACTTTACTTTAACTCGATCTATATAATCACCAATAATTACACAACCAAAACCGGCACACGATGTAGAATGTAGACTTTACTTTAACTCGATCTATGTGATCACCAATAATTACAAAACCAAAACCGGCTCTGATGTAGAATGTAGACTTTACTTTAACTCGATCTATATAATCACCAATAATTACCCAACCAAAACCGGCACACGATGTAGAATGTAGACTTTACTTTAACTCGATCTATATAATCACCAATTATTACTTAGACTTTTTTCTCATTTCAGAATATTTCTTGTTTAGATCTTAGATACAAAGGAATTGGGCAACAGGCAAAGCCTATGAGCGCCCTCTCCTTACAGTTATAAACAGTTTACACACATCATATTGAATTGAAATATGATAAAACATGTATAGTATGTACATGAATAATGATATTAGCATGTCATTATTAAAAAAAATGGTAATGGTTGTACAAAAACTAGATTTTACAAAAAATGGCAATTGAAATTATGCTGGTGGACAGCACATAGTACAATTATGTACTGGTATCATTCCATACAGCAAAGTCATGTGAAAAAAAAGATAAACAAGTAAGTGTAATCTAGTAAAAGCGTCTTGTATCTTTAACGAATCTCTGAACCAACTCCAAGATACTTATATTCATATTGATATCGAGTCTTCGACATCCATAAAGAAAAGTCTGAGTATTTAATTAAATAGTATCATTAAGAGCAGAAATGGAGTTCAGGAGAATTTGCATTTGATTAGTTTACAGAGTACAATGGAAGAAGTTATCACAATCCTCAACAGGAGAACTACATAAGCAGGCAGGGGTATCAATTAGGTGAGATTCAAATAGATCTGAATTCAGGTTACTGGCA